CTCACACAAACGACACATACATAGACATTAAAACACACATACACACATGCACACACTCTCACACGCACACACAAAACCACACACACACACACACACACACACACACACACACACATGCACGTTTGGAAGCGTCAATGAAATTTTGTTTCCCAAGATTCGTATAGAATCAAGAGCCTCTTGTGAACAAGATCGAGAACGAGAACAAGAACAGAACAGAACAAGAAAAACAACAACAACAACAACAACAACAACAACATCATCATCACCATCATCATCAACAACAACAACAACAACAACAACAAATAGGATCATTTTTACTGCTCCTACCCGTCTTTAGGCACCACATTTCACAATGAAATAACATTTAAAATGAGAGAAAAAATAGAGTGCTACAACAAATGAAAATAATCTGTTTTTTCACAGGGAAACTGCTGATGCTGACTCACCTGGGGTATACTGAACAAGGCACTGAATATCCACGCAAAGACGATCATGGTCCGAACTCGCTGGGCCGCGCCATTTCTTCTCATGGGATCAAGAATTGCGACACAGCGGTCAAGACTGATGGCCACAGTGATGTACGTTGACAAGTAGAGGGCGAACACCTGGGAGATGACGTCAGAGAGGAGAGTTAGTGCAAAAGTTGAAATTGTCTAAGACAGTCACCCGCCATTTTAAAAGAGAAGGGTGGCTTTTTAGACGGGGGGGGGGGGTGTCTTCTTACACAGTCTGATAGTAGTGTAAAATAAATGCAAAGGGAGATTGGGAAGTGACTGTTTGCACAGGTGGTTGTATTAAACAGGTGGACGTGATAGCAGGTTCATCTGTAAGTTCATGGGTTTTAATGCCTTTATCAACACTGTTAGGCTATTCAAGAAGCAGAGCTTCTAAATTTTACACCAGTCTCCGACAGCACTGAGCCAGAAAGATTGAGAGCCTTGAAAATTCCACGAAACGATCTGAATTCAAGAACGCTCAGTCTTGGTTTCGAACCAGGGCCACGCGCTCTGCAGTTTAGAAGGAAATGAACTGAACTAATGGAGCGCACCACGGAAGAGGGGAACATTTGATGTAAATGTTTTACAGCCTAATCGGTACAATTTAGACATGTTATGAGGCGAGCTATGACTCAGCTTATCACGACAAATCCAGACAGATAAAACATGCCAGCAATTGGAAACAATATTAAATATCTCCAAGAAAAAAACAAAAACAACCCAATCTTCTATCTAAGGCAGAATAGAATAGATATATCATGGGGTCAAGAATTGCAACACAGACATATCATTATTATTTCGAACACACTTTCTTCTTTATTCCCCGTACGTTACAGAAAATGCTTGATCGGCAATCTTTAACTTTTAAATTACAAAACACGTCTCCTCGTTCCAACGCATCGCTCTCGCCTCCTGTAACTCTGTCCGGCATAAGAGAGCTTTCCCCTCAAGGCCACACGTCACTGCTGTAACAAAAACGACAGTGATTTCCTTAACCTCTCTCAGAATCTCTTCATTATTTAAAGCCACCTCTTGGCTAATTTCGTTACTGTTTCTCGGCCGTGTCTGCTGTACCCCCCCCCCTCCCCCCTCCCCCTCCCCTCCCCCCCCTACCCCCACCCCTCCCCTCCCCACTCGTAAAACAACTGATGGAAATTGACGAAGAAAGCGTAACAGATTAATGTAAAATATTCAGAGGATCAAATTGCAAGTACACTGCTTTAAACTGGTTTCAATTTTAGACGGACTTCAATTTTGGGCTAGTTCCAATTTTCGACAGTTTCAATTTTCGCCTGGCTTCAATTTAAGGGATTAGGATGGCGTGGCATGAATAGTGTATAGAACTCGGGTACACTGGATGAGCAGGACTTGACTAAAATAGAAAGATTACTAGGGGATGAACTAATCAGTCTCCCCATCAATGTACTACTAGCGTCTAGGGTATAGCGGTCAGCAGGCGCCTCGTTGTTCTTTCAACAGACCCGAGTTCGTTTCCACAATGAGAACAATTTTTAAATCAAATACTAGTCTTTCTGCTTCAGTCTTGTGTCCCTCTCAGCCAAGGGTGGCCCTGACAGGCAGGGTCGAAGCCCGCTTACTAAATTATCTGAACAATGTTAAACACTTTCTTTAAAGAAAAACCAAATTACTGACTTAATGATGTAAAAGAGATACAATGGGATTTTTTCAATGACGTAAGTGATCCGATAAGTGGATATGGCATCATGGATTTATTTATGAGATTTTAGACAACAGAGCTAGATCTACATTAAAATTTGAAATTAAACAAAATATTTCTATCTTTTAAAAAATCTAGTTTGTGTGTATGTGTTTTTTTTCCCTCGTTATGAATTCTCTAACAGGTGGTGTAGATAGGGGATTAGATAGATGGAAATATGTTAGTTAAAACAAATGTCAACAGAGCTATATCTGCCCTCCATACCCCTCCCAAAATACACACTGACACAATAGTACACAAACACATACACACATATACACACGTACACACATACGTAGACACACCTACACACAAACAAACACACAAACAGACACACAAACACTGACGCATGCATACACGCACACACATGTACATACATACACACATAATCACACACAATCACACACATACACACAAATATACATACATACACAGCACACATACACACACACACACACACACACACACACACACACACACACACACATACACACACACATACATTCTCACACACGCTCACACACTCACAGACCCACACTCACGCACATCGTTTTTAGGTATCAATTAGTGACGGCGTCTGGTCAAGACAAATAAGATTGTTGTTCAAACTTGCTGTCTTGCTCCTCTCTTATATATATATATATATATATATTGAAGTAGTAAAAGACAGTTAAGAGGATTTCCCCCCCCCCCCCCTTAGATAAATTGGAAGCATTCTTAATAACTTTCTCTTCCCCGCTTGAAAAACGATCAATCAGCTAAGTCGTTGCTATATAAAGCAGAGGTCGACAAACCTCTATCAAAGCCGGTCGGATAACAGTAACAGAGAGAATAACGAGAGCGGACCGGAAAATTCGTTTGTTCAACACAATACACAGATAGCAAAATAAAGAGTATTGACAACAAATTTTGAGTTTGAGTTTGAGTAAAGAGAAGCACACTTGCATTATAACTGTAATATCATAGTACAGTGAAGAAGCAGCTCAGACATTCAGAAACAACTGCAGGCAACGGGAAACCACTGCTATAATCTCCCAAGAACAATCATGAGGAAATCAAATGATGAAGTCTACGTGGGACGCTCACTGTTAAAAACAATCAGGAAACGACAAATGCAGGTGTAGGACACCTGAATAGACATAAGGGTCTTGAACATCTAGCTCTCACTGGCAAAATTGAAGGCATGCGAGGCAGGGGTAGGCCCAGAGCAACCTACGTGGGGAACCTGAACAAGTGGGTGACAGGGAATGATCAGGGAAACGTGGCTTTTTTAAGAGCATCCGAGCTAAGGAATGAACGGAGAACCATGATCGTCGATGTCTGTCGCAGATATGGGACTAGATGATGCTGATTCATTCATTCATTAAATCGTTTATTTATTTATTTATTTATTTATTTATTTATTTAGTTTTATTTATTTCATATTCATTCTTTCATTCATTCATTCATTTATTTATTCCTTCCTTGATTCGTTTTTTCGTCAATTCATTTATTTGTTTGTTTGTTTCTTTTTGATTACTTGTTTGTTTATTTGTTTATTTGTTTATTTATTTATTTAAATAAGTATTTATTTATTTATTTTATTCATTTATTTTATGGAAGGGGGCTGGGGTCATAATGAACAAACAGTACACCCATCGATGTGTTATGTGAAGGCAGACATTTTGTTACAGTTTAAAAGACATCTTGGTGTAAACAAGGGCAAGGGTTAAACTTCGTTGTATTTCATTATCTGTTCTAAAACTGGAAGAGTGATGTGTTCCACAAATGCGTAGACATTTTTTTGCAGGTTGTCTCACTTTACTGACAGAAGTGTTGTGACTTTTAGAACTAGATTCTATCTAACGTGCGCAAAAGTATAACTCATTCTAGAACTGGTTCTCTAAGAAGTTCAACGACCGATTTGACTGTTACGCTATGACTTTCCAAATATCTCGGTCATTTGCAATCTGTTTCTATAACCAGTAGGTTCTGAGCAAGATGAGTCCTCGTAGTTAACATAAAAGTGTTAACGTTTTGTAGGCCAGATATGATGACATCGTAAAAAAGCTTTAGCGGACTTTGAAGGTAAACAACAATCATTAATTATTCTTTGTTTTGTAGCTGTTCAATACGTGGAAACATTACCCATTAAGACAAAAAGAACCCGAAAAGGTGGGCAAAAGGGTTTTTTCTCCGAAAAAAACAAAACAACTTCGAACAAATTTTCGTTTATTTATTCTGAAATTATTTATATATTTATTTACTTATTCAGTTATTTATCTATTTAATCTTGTACGGGTTCGTGTATTGAATAATTCATATGCGTGTATTGACTCATTCTGCTAGATCTGCATGGACTGAGACCAACCCACTCCTGCAGCTGTGAAGAAAAAAAGCATTTGAAGCTTCTAATAGAAGAAGTTATCAAGCACACAGTAAAACCAAGCAAACTGACGCAGATACACAGAGACCAGAACCACAGGAAATGTACAAACAATAGAGCGGATTCAATTATTGAAAAGATATGTCTCGTATCTGCAGCGCAATATCTTTTTCAGTTAGACTTTTGTTATCCTTTTAATATTACGCGATAGGGTTCAAATTCCGCTAAAATGTGAATACATCCGGCGGCTGTAGACTAAGCTGAGAAATTGTAGATACGATAAAACCATGATTGTCTCCTCTTGTAAAGTTGATATTTGAGATGTTTCCCGTTTCTTGATGCCTTTGTTGAATACTTGCAGAACACAAAAAGGTTCTGATTTAAGAAACAGGGGATCGTTTATCCTCCGTTGCTCAAGATGAATGACAAGGAGATTTCTTGGAGTTCAAGAAGCGATGTAGCCATTCCCAAGGAGAAAGCTGGTTTCTCATTATCAAAAAGAGAGCTTATATTTCCTATGGGAAAGCAGCGACTGTAGAGTTCGAATAGAAGAAAAGGCGTCGAAAAACAAGTTCCAGAAAGAAAAGAGAAGGTTCTAATCGCAGGCCGAGTCAATATTGTGTCATGACACCTTGGAATCAGGTGCTCGTCAATGTATTGGGTTTATGGAGTTATGGGCATCATCTTAAAGCTTGTCCATTTGTCTATTTTAAAGGGGAAAAAAGCCAGTCTATCTGGAATAGAAGTTGATATATTTGCGATTGAAGGGGGTAAGGGTCGCTTGTTTTCAGAACTAGAATTATCGAGAAAATGGTGGCCAACATTTTGTGACTTCCAAATCTATAGTCCTTGGAAACTTCAAATGTGCATTTTATGTGCCTTCAATTTCAGGAAAATCCATGAAGCAAGGTATTTTTAAATAGATCTAAAATGTCTTAAGCCAAGAAAATAAAATTTCTAATAAAATAGTCAAACAGGAAGGAAAATGCCTGTTTCTTCAATTTCATTGTTTTGACGAGCGCATGA